GGGGGGGGGGGGGGGGGGGGGGGGGGGGGGGGGGGGGGGGGGGGGGGGGGGGTAGTCGTGCAAGCCGTAGTCGTTAGACCATTGATCTCGATTCGGCGGCGGCGGGGTTAATAAGGCACTGGGACAGGTACTGACACGTGTTGAAAATGAGGTCCAAGTGCACTGGTATGGATTACTTAGTCACGCGATAAACAAAGCGAGGAATTTCCACAGAAAAAAACAAACTTGGGCAGGCTCAAAATCAATCAAAGGACTCGCCAATTAACATGCCACGCCTTTTTCGTTGGTGCAGTCTTGACAGTTGGAAATTCCTACAACCAGCGAGATTCGCATCAATGACATGCCGTTGTCGACGCAGATACAGTCATGGTATGTACGCCTTGTCGCGCGAACCACACCGGGGGTGCGAATATACTTTCCGCCTGGCGCGATTCTGGCTGCTTACCGCTCACCAATGTGATCGCTGCAATGAGGCGCTCGTCTTCAAGAGTTTTGATTGGAAGCCGTTCTCGCTCTCGCCGGTGTGGGCGGTCATTTCGTGCCAAACAGCGTGCACGAGCACGAAACTAGGTGCAGCTCGATCTCGACGGTGTACCACTACAGCGAATGGAATCCACAGAGAGGGTCAAGCTGCTGCGATGGAGACAACAAGCCAACGTCAACGCTCTTTATCGAGGCTATACTGGCAGAGGATGCTTTGCAGGGGCCTCCCAGAAAAGGGTGGAGCCACACAGAATCACTTGGGTATCTGAAGCCCAAAATTCCACCACGGAGCTCAGTGGGTGGATGATGGGAGTGTTTCGACTTGATGGTGGCCTTAACAACGGATGCTTCTTCCTTCATGGATTGAAGGTGCACACATTGTGGGTGGGGATCTTGGTGATGGAGAAGAGGGGAACAATTACCTTGAGCACCGAGACGCCGTCATGGGTATGTCCCACCCTGATTAACGGGTTTCTCTCTCGGAACGCTTCCCGGGCAGCTCGCAAGTTGGCCGTCTCCATACTTTTCTTCCAGCGCTGCCCAATCCTTGAAGGATCAGCAGCTGCCGCGCCTCCATTTCTAACCGGCAGGAACGAATCACCACGAGACCAGGATGTAAGACAATGATCAAAGCGGTTGGCAGCATGGCAATAATCCTTGGCTAAAACAAACGGGTCTCACGGCCTACAATATACCAGTTGGCGTGTTGGTTAATCTGTAATCGAATAAATGTGAAATACATCCGGGTGATGACATTTGGACCCGAAAACCGCACTTTTCCTTGAGATGGACCGTAAAAAGGTGTGTTTCGTAGTGACCCCGTTGACAGACAGGAATGCAGATTCTGGCAAGGTTTACGCTTGATGAATAGGTTACAGCACGAAAAACCCAGCAAATCGACCAACGCTTACCGTCATTCTCCAGTCGACTGGGACGCACGGCATGAGGTGTTTAACTCTGCACTATGCCGGTGGCTCCGGCCCACCTGCATTTAAAGCGAGGGTTTCTAAAAATATCTGGGACTTACAGAAAAACGGCGGGGAGATTGTGACGAAGACTCACCGGCCTCCTCTTATGAAAGCCTCGGCAGCCTTCTGAAACCAAGCTTTCATCTGCTCCGCCGCCGCGTTCGCGCGGGTGCGATACTCCTCGGAGGTTAACCCCTCGTCCCCTTCCTCCTCCTCCTCCTCCTCCTCCTCCTCGCCCTCGGCATCCTCCTCCTCCCATTGCCTCTCGCTCAGAGCTCCCGCTCTGTGGTCAACGCCACATGTCGCGCCCAGCGATGTGGCGGTTGGCAAGGAATCATCAGACCGGGGAGGGCGCGCTTTGCGTTCGCGTTGCGCAACTCCTCTATGGGGACGGCTTCGCCTTCCCTCGCCCCTTTCCCTTGGGTTTGCAGGCCTCGGGTCTAAGAGTAGCTGCGCAGCAGACGTTGCATCGTGGTCGGAAGCTGTGAGAGCCGCGATGATAGTCTCACGAGAGATTGTTGCTTCGAAAGCCAAGCAGAGCTCGGTCAGCGTATCAACCTGGAACCACGTGCAATAGTGGGGTGGTCACGTGTGAGGGGGGAGAACGGCGAGGTTTGGAAAGAGGTGAGGCATACACAGAAGGTGAGGCATTCAAACAACATGTGATCGTGTGTGCCACTATTAGGGCTTCAAATACCAAATATCTGCTCGTGTGTAAGTCAGGGGGGATTACGCCACTTTTAGGAGTCAAACAAACGGGACAAGACTTGGAGAATGGCCATAAAAGCAATCAGATCCGGCGCGACGCAAACTGAAGCGACCACTAGTTCTTCGACAGAGCTTTTGGTTCCAGTACCTGCTTGGGCGTCCAGTGTAATACGTCCGCGAACTTTCCATGGGTCTCGTCGTCCCGAGTATCGGAACCATTTTCGTTGGTGCTAACGTCGGTGCCTGCGCTGGTGCTTGGAGTCAGGAAGTCGTCCGTCGTGGTTCCGTCTGACGACGGGCTGTCCGGGAAGGTTATGACTTCTCCCTGGCCCCACAAGCCCTCACAGACCTTGAATCCCTCTTTCACGGCCTGGTTAGGGCCATCGGGTGTAGACGGGTGGATGTGCTATCGAGACGACTCCTTGGAACAGAAGATACACATCGTTGCGGTGCACCGTAGGCGTCGTTGAGGAGAACGCAGCAGCTTGTTAATGGCTCAGAAAAAGGGGTGGCGTGGATTACAACAACAGGAAGATGCAACAACAGGACCCTCGACATCGGCCATCACATGCCAGGACCTCTCTTGCCTCACCTTTTCGAGATAGTTCCCCGACTCCGCGAACAAATTCTCCAGGGTTTCCGGTGGCAGCAGGCCTCCGAACATATCTTCCAGCACGAAAAAAGCTTCTCCGTCGCTGACGTCGAGGTCTGCTTCCTCTTCGTTTGTTTGGTCGTCGCCATCCCATGCTCCTGCCGGGACACGCTCGCGATGATCGTGAGCCTGCCCCCCTTCTGCGGTTGCTGCTTCTTCCGATCGATACGAACTATTACCCGTGTTCCCGTTTTCCTCATTTCCTTGGATGGGGAAAGTGGAGCGGGAAGGCCATTCTTCAATGCTGTTCGGTCCTAGAGGAAGCACGACCGGTTGAGCACACGAATGGTCCTCATCTCTTTTCCCCGTTGCTGCCGCTGTCGGCCCCGTCCCCAAGCGATCGGTTCGGGCCGACGCGGCCACGCCCACGTCTTCAGGCGCAAGCACCCGTGGCGGAGCCTGCAAGTCCGAAAAATTCGAACAAATCTCTGCAGGCGTTAGCAATCTCGTCTTCGGTTTTAATGACTGCTTCACCGAAGCAAGAGCCTCTGCTTGGGACTGTGAGGTTAGTTTTGCAATCGAGTTGAGACTGCTCGACGTGAAGCCTCTTTGTTTTGGGCGATGAGGCAATTGTTTCTCAAGGCTGCCAACGAATCGGCCACGTTTGTCCCCGTTCATGGCGCTGGGCAAGGACGGATCGCTAGTCGCGTCATTTGCGGCAGTCCGCCCGTTGTTGCCTACGGCATCTCTCGTCCGTGCCACAGGGCCAGCAGCACCACCACCTCCGACCTGCTGCTGCCCTCCGCATGCCAACACCGGCCCGCGATCGTACTCCGGTCGGGTCATTGGAGCATCCGCTGAGGCTGGCGTATGATATGTCACGCCCCCTTGCCCCGGCGCGGCTCCAGGCAGTTTTGTGGCCATCCCCGCCGTCGTAGCGCCCTTCTCAACCGGAAAGAAGATGTCTACAGCATGATGCACAGTAGGAGCTGTTGCAACCGCGCCTACTTCTCCCGGCGGACAAGAATTCATGTTCCACTGTGATCCTTCCTCCGCCAGAGACTGGTCCCAACACATCCCCACGCTGTCGACGCCGCGCCGCCAGCCAGTGCCACCACCCAAATCTCCACCAACTCTATCACTCCCGGCAGTAGTTGCCGGTGGGGCGGGCGCCCGCTCCGTTCCAGGCGCCCCATCCGAGCCTGCGGAAAGAGACAAGAGGGCAATCGCCTCGGACAAGTCTTGGTCGCCGTGGCAACGTAGCACGGTGTGGAAACCCTCCTTGCGGTGCGGAGGGCGGAAATCCTTTGCATATCGTTTCACAATGCCCGCTGAAGCGAGACCGGCTCCGAGAGTGGGGTGGCCGACCCTACTCTGAACCCTGCCCTGGCACACGTCTGCACGGTCGGGCAGGCGGGAGGGCAGGGATGACGATGACGAAGCGGTATATCATAACGTAATACCTGATGATGATGTTGGTACTTCTCAAGGTGCGACTTCAGGCTGGTCGCTGAGTGTTTATTTGCTTGGATTGGCCGCCGTGACTAAGGAAACGATTCTTTCGGGTGAGAACATGTAGAGTGCGACTTGTCGTGGGGACTGCGAGGCGCACAATGGACAGAGGTAGGTGCCCTCACCGATGGGGATGTCCAGCCACACCGCGATGCATGCATCCTTGTGCAGAGAGTGGGAGACGGCCAAGTCAAGCCAGGTCACGCGCTGCGATTGGTCGAAGTTGCACCTTGTTTTAACGCCGCCAAGAAGTTCAATTTCGTCAAAAACGGAACAGGGCCAACAAGCGGCACAACGGGTAATAGCAAAAAATACGGCAGAACATGGTTCCGGCGGGTGACTGACTGGCTTATGATCCGTACGCAGTGCAGAATTCAAACAAGTGGACAACGTCGCTCGGGTTTTCACAGCCGGTACAAACAACAACGGTTCAACTGTTTGCAAAAAAGAGCTAGACGGTTCAGATGCTGTCGCGAATCACGGCTCCACTCTGAGTCCTTCGCAGAACATGTACCCGAAACAAAGTGGAACCGCACCTGTCAATGAGGACTCGCCCCCCCTTCTCCAAGACCTGTTGCGCTCTGCGCCTGCACTTTTCTCGTGACCCGAGAGTGTCCTGGTTCACTACGCTCCTGTCGTAAACAATCCACGTTTCATTGACGTTGCGAGCGGGTGGCAACAGCGGGCTCGACTGACAACTATGCAAGCGGGGTATGGCGGTAGGTCTCGCCCACTTGTGGTACACACAACACGTGGAGGGAACCCCTCCCCGCTCGTCACGCAACCCCTTGCTTGAACACACAACCAAATACGGCGCGGGGCCCGGACCCTTCGCCTAAACCATGACCAAGTCATCCGCTCTGTAGGGGGCCAGCGCATGGGACATGGCCCAACTATCGCGCAACAGGTAATACGGTAATTCGAACGGCAAGATGTGGCTCTCGGTGCAAGGGTGCGCGCACATCCTTCATGTATGTACTCTCGAAGTCACAGAGAAGCAGCCAGGAAACCTGTCAAGCCCCTCCCGCATCGACGAACTCTGCCAAGTAAACAACAGCAAACCCACCAACCCATGTCTTCTAGGAATGAAGCCAAAGTGGATTTCCCGCTGCCCGGGATCCCCGCGAGTACTAGGATGCGATACCCGCCCGGGGGAGGCGCCGGCGGCGGACGGGGGGCTCGCCCTTGCTGTTTGCCTTGGCCCTGCTGTCGAGTGACAGGAGAGGGGCAGTGGAGGGGAGCATTACCCCAGTTGACAATCGCTAACAAACCGTTTCGAGTCGGGATCGGACGGACGTACATACATCCGACGCCGGCATGGCATCGGTGCACGCTTAAACTGTGGTGTATTCGGCACACTGCCGACACCTCCACCACGTCCAGAAACAACAGCGCATTGTGAGGACGTGGGAGAGAAAGTCGTGCTGGTGAAAAGGAGGATGGTACTGGCACGGAGTAGGATAATGGTAATCACGAAAGAGGAGAGGGTGATGGAAGCGAAAACTAAGAACAAGGAGAGGGGTTTGAATGTAGAACAAGTTTCGGCCCAGCTGACGTTCCACGCAACAAACGCCGCCGGGACAAAATTTGCCCGAAAACAGAACAAATAACACAGTACGGGGTTGGTAGAACCAGCAACAGCAGCACATGAACGGAGCCAGAAAGAAAACGAGTAGAAAAAAGAGACGTTGTACACATGTGCATTTCTTCTTCTGTCACCGTTTCCGCCTTCAACCCAGAGAACAGTCCAGCCTCCCCCGTAACCCCGCCTAACGGGGCCCCAGATCATGGTCTTGTAAAAGCGTCTTCTGGTTTTAGCGGCACTGAAGACTTTTGGCCAGCCCGTTAGTGCGGTCGATGCTATGAACGCAAACACGTGCCAATTGCATGAAAATACATAAAATATTGCTCGTACTCGGCAGGATACTGATGTCCGAGATCTCCGGGGGGAGTCACGCATTTGGATATGATGGGTGTGATGACCTTGACGCGCTAGGGTCTTCTTTCCTGCCCACCTCTCTCACTCGTTAGTACATCAAGGAACTTTAGTCAATCCTTTGTGCAGAAACGCTCTCGACAAGAGCCCGCGAGCGTGGTAACGCAGTACACGCACCGACAATCGTGTTGGGGTGTCGGCGCGTGTACTGCGTTACCACGCTCGCGGGCTCTTGGGTGTCGGGCTCTGGGGTGTCGGCGCGTGTACTGCGTTACCACGCTCGCGGGCTCTTGTCGAGAGCGTTTCTGCACAAAGGATTGACTAAAGTTCCTTGATGTACTAACGAAGTGAGAGAGGTGGGCAGGAAAGAAGACCCTAGCGCGTCAAGGCCATCACACCCATCATATCTAAATGCGTGACTCCCCCCGGAGATCTCGGACATCTGTATCCTGCCGAGAACACACACAAACAAAAGTGATGGTTCAATTGCGCGAGAGACGAGCAGGCTAATGTGAAGTAGACGAAAGGCAACGGCTTGTTATCGTCAACTGCTGTGCGAATTCGTGCGTACAACCGAACAAGACACAAACAAAAGCATGTACTTCCACGCAATAACGTTAACCTTGTTGCACACAGCAGTGCCGCCGCGTTTAATTTTCTCGCGCTTTTCGTGAGTCGAAGTAATCGACAGACTGGCTATTTGTCGTCTGGTTAACTCAGCTTGTGGAATGCTTTGGTATTTTCGGAGGGCAAGAAATGAATGAAATGATATATATAAAAAAGCTGGTCCATGACCACGTGTAAGGCGTCAGCGTCAGTTGGACCAGTCGGATGTTAGGTACTGAGCAGAGACGGGTGACTTCTTAATGTGAAGACAACACCAACAACAACACTGTATTGCCCGAGACGATACAGCACATGCTCCCAAACAAGCTATGACTACAGTAACGCTGCCTACACAAATCTTCTCAAAAGAGTTCTTGAGTCATCTGTCTGTGCGCTTTGCATCATCCAGGAGCCAACTACAATTAATAGACTAGACTAAATGAACGTATTAATATATCACACATCATTTTCGCTCACTATCATGTCAACATCACAACCATTGCTCCCGGCATGTTTGCAAATTGAATCAGCGCAAACCACCGTTGCTTACACCGCAAGGATAGCGCTTGGTCGTAGTCTGTGCACTAAACATACTACTTCTACAACACAAGGCTGGTTACAACTATTAGTGTAACTACACCGAACAACCCTTCAGACGCACGAACCCAGAACAGAAAAAAATAAAACACGCTGACGCCGCAAGACGTAGACCCGCTCACCTTGTATTTACCCCTGGGTGCCCTGCCATTCGATTGCCACATTGTCTCAAGGTGTTCTTAGGTGAGTGTCGGTGGATCGGTGGTCGTGCTGGTGGTGCTTCTTCGGCCACGCTTGAGAAAGCAGCAGCAAACACGGTTTACGCTTTATGTGTGACGTCAATGTGGGCGTGTACGACGTGACCCAGTCCGGAATATAATGCGCGGATAACGGTGGAAACCTGCGCGTAGGTACCAAACCGATGGCTGCGCGAGATGTTTCGGAGGCGGGTGAGTAGTGCGTGGCGGGTATAAGCGGGATCGATAGCAGGGAAAGGCGAGGAAGCACCACAGGAGATCGGGAAAGTGTTTGTACTCTAACACGCTAACAAAAATCAAGGGACATTCTGGGAACCAGGGGTTTGCAACAGAACGTCAGGCTTTTTACTCTAACAGTCTCGTAAGCGAGCGCGCCGCCTCCACAGGCCGTACGTGAGAGAGAGTCAGCTCGAGACAAAACAACAGCGCTTACGAGAGAACAGAGACGTTGCTATGGCGAAAGGGGGAAAAGGAGGGAAAGGACCAAAACCTGCCTTCACCAGGGTGATCCCGAAATTCCTTCAGCAGTATGAGACTATGCTGACGGGACCCAAGCCACAACAAGGGTGAGGAGAAACGAACGAGAGAGAAAGACGTGGGGCAGCAGCAGACTATAACAAGCTGGCATGGAGAGAAGCGGAGAGTGGGGGAGGGGGGCAGGAGGGAAGGAGGAGGAACAGGATGAAAAGAGAGATTTGCACATTCAAATGTATGCATAGAGGAGACACTTACATGCCGGGTATCATCGGTCACTTACTGCTGTAGAGTATGGATCTTGATGTTGGTGGCTCTTCGGCACCATGGCCTTTCGGGATAGGTCCACCCCCGGGAAGCCCCAACGTTCACAACTACATGAACATATGTGTAATTTCTGCTCTCTTTCTACCTCAACGTGGTGTCGAACGTGGCGTAGCTCTTGCAATATTCCTTTGATTCCTGCGAAATCTGAACGCGCTCTGTGCGGCACCTCTAACCACGTCGCTACCGCTACGGCCTTCGCTACGGTTATAGCCCTGACAACGAAGAAACGTTCAGCGGAGGCGGAGATTTCACGGATGGAGGGGGCGGCAGTTCAAGCGGGAAAAGTGGCATGCCCGGGCGAGGTCGTGGCCGAGATAGAGATTCCAAGCAAGGCGCAGCGGAGGGCAGGGGTGGGAGCGGGGGGGGAGGGGCGGCAGGCGGCGGGGGCGGGAGCGGTGGTGCTTTTGAAGACTACGACGAAGAAGAGGTGGCAGCTTTGGAGGCGTACATGAAGACGCACCCCAGCAAGGAAGAAGACAAAGAGGCCTTGCGAAAACGTGCAAGAGAACTCTCTGTTAGCATAGGCTCTGGCCAGGTGATGAAGTGCCCCGGGTGTATCTGATTGCGTACCAAGAACAGGAGGAGTACAGAGCCATGTTCGTCCCAAGCAACTGAATGCAGTTCGCGATGCTGTGGAGCGCGTCAGATGCACAGAAAACCACCTACTAAGAGGAATGTTGCAGTCGCTCGTTGGCTTCTCGAGTACTACCCGAATTGGCATTCAGCGTCAACCGTTGCTTTGCGGAAAAAACAAGAGTTCCGTATATGACACAAGATAACACACCCCCTGGACCGATTTTCAAAGCTCGATTACTCCACGACGAAGAGAATGCATAAACGAAACGATACATTTTTCGAGAAGCTCTCGACGAGACGGCTTCAACGCCGCCGTTTTCGGCGCTGTGACTGTTCCTGCAGTTAAGAAATCGAGCTTCGAAAATTGGTCAAGGGGGTGTGTTATCTTGTGTCATATACGGTGGTTAACAACACGTTTGTGAGATGCGTGCAGCCTTTGTACACCGAAGCGGACGGCAGCCCAATGAAGTCGGCACACTCGAAATAGTGTGAGGTTCCACTACGAGGCTCACAACAGTGTGGTCACGCCCCTTGGGGCAATACAAGGTTTGCTCGGTCAACAAAATTCTTATCGCCGGCGGCCGTCGAATGTCCGTGGAATGGTGGCTGTATCCCGCAGTCCTGTGTGCAGTATCCCGTCTTACTTAGTGATAATATACATACATAAATCAGTCATCAGTAGCAGTGGTCAGAAGGTATGAAGTCCCCACGTACTCAACCGATACCCTGAACCCTTTGCAATGGCAGTTTCAGCCTCGTTGAAATTTCTTAGTGCAGGTGTGGTGAGCAATTATGAAATCTACCACGCGTTTCGCTACACCTCAGCAGCATGCATGGGGGATGGACGTATGGGCGTCGGATGAGCATGCGTATCTAACGTACTGCAGCAGCAAATGCATCGTTGGTTAGGTGTGAGTGAGAGTGAGATGTGTGCAGACATATGTGCGTGATGACGAGCAGGGGTTTGTTGCCGACGTTGCGCATTTTCCCCGAGCTCAATGTGACGGCGTTCGCCGTAGCATGTGTGCCACACTAGCAAATAGCACCCCTAGCGGATAGCGGTACGCTGGCCTCATCCGGTACATTGTTGACCGCGAAGGTACTAACGGTTTTGGCCCTCAAAGCTCAATAGTATTGGAATGCAAGGGGTTCTTTCTCGTGTGCGTCTACCGCTCATGACTATTCGGAACGACAGTTTTGAAAAGCTTCGTGCACGCTCACAGAAACGTTGGGATTGCCGCTCCCATTTGGTGCAGGGTTCAGAAGCAAAGGGCGGCAGAACAGCGGGGGGAAACGGGGGCGCGGCAGGAACAGGGTCGGCAGCGGGTGCACCCATAGCTCCGCCTCCCCCAGAAGAGCCTATCGAGTACACAGATGCATCGGGGAAGTTGAAGTTCAACAAGCGGCCCGTTTCTGCTGCGGCGGGTGGGGCAGCAGGCGAGAGTGGGGAGAGTGGCAGAGGGTCCAAAAAGAAGAGCAAGCGGGCGAAACTGGCCAAGCTGAGCAATGCCAAGTTGCTGTCTTTCGGAGATGACGAGGACGGATGAGCATGGTTGAGGTGGATCTTGGCGAGCAAGATACCGTGCTGCTGGTATTCATCGATTAGCCGCAGAGACGGTCGACTCGGATGAAGATTCGGTGTAACGGACTGGCTGACTCTAGGCGCGTGTCCCCAACAACTTTGTTGGAAGTGGCGGCGGCCGCGACAGCAACAGCGGAAACAGCAGAGTGGGTTGAAAAGCTACCCACAGGCCCATTGATATACCTAGTTTGTATGAGGCCGATCGGGATTTTGTGGTGTGGTTCGGTCGCGCCACCCCCATGAGCTGCAGATAGGCCTGAGATCCGCTGCTTGTGGATCGAAGTCGAAAAATTCTGTAAATACCGAGATCCGCCGATACATCAGCAGCAAGGAGACGCGTGAAAAAACGTATTGTTTGAAGAACACCCTCTGCCTTTCTGCCGCTGCAGAGTGTGGTAGTAGGAGAGTCGGCCCTCTCACGTCACGCGAAGCTGATGCTAAGACTGAGGCTCACTCTCGTGTACACGTCTCGTAGGTGTAATGAACCACTACGAAGGCTTTGCGAGGCAGCACTGTATGTACTTGTGAAACGGTCAACACTGCTATCCACTGCCGCTAGTCTCGGTTGAGTACTACGAGGCGAGGTTGCCTGAGCGATGCAAGAATTTATGAATTGGGTTTCAGCAGCTTCTAGGCAGAGTGCATGTGGCATAATCGGGAAGGATGTGCAATCTCATTGCCGTGCACGACATTTTTGAGTATTGTATTGGGTTGCGACGTTCCCTCCTGCTGTATTTATTTGAAGAATATCGATCCATGGGTTCTTGGATTGAGATGAATCACTCGTGACCGTTGCTCAAACGTTTACAGCTCTGGAGTAAAGCACAACTGGTTTAGAAGGAAAGGATTCCACAAAAACATTCTGGACATCAAAACTGCCTCAATTTTCAACGCCTATTGTTAGGCTGAGGGGGCCTATAAAGGTCACTCATAAAAGTAGACGGTTTCGAAGATCCCTCAACGTTTTCCCTTCTCGAACACGGGTCTAATCGAACCAAGGGCACAAAAACACCTTCAGACGCAATATATCGACAAAATATCACCTGACTACAATAACAACACAACGTCGAAGCCAAACGTATTGTAAGTGCTACTCTATCTTCCGAGGCCGGCAGCCTTCCTGCCGGTGGTGCTTCAGCGTCTTCATCCCCCCCCTACAGAGTTCAACCGACCCCCCTCCGCGAGTCGAAGCCCGTTCGTGCATCCGGGCAAGCGGAAAAACACTAACACCAAGGCCAGCGACAACACTGCTCTAACAACGGCTTCACAACAAAACTTCGGCTGCCAGGAAGATCAGGGCCAACTGCCGACCCCACCCCCGGGCCAGCCAAGCCCCAGTCGAGTCCAAAACTCTGCTTCGTCGTCTCCCCACTTGGTGCAACCAACGAGCTCTAACCCGGCCCTGAAAGCGGGAGGTGACGAGGCGATAGGGGAGACATCAAGGCGGCTTTCTGTGTTGTGGGGGGGTTATTATGCGGCATGCGGTTCCTTCTCGCTGCGAGTGGTCAGCGGAGACAAGTGATCGAGCATGTCAACCGAGTCGGAGCACGGAGCAAAGCCTCCAGGCGCAAGGAGGCGAAAATCGTCATCATGAATAGCCAACGCACATTTGTCGTGCACCCTCGCCCCCAGCAAGTCGGGGTCGAAGAAGAACGCCGTTCACCGACTAGGAGGATCAGTAGTGGATACTGCCAAGCACCGTCATAGCGCTCCATCTACCTACTGTAGCGTAACCGCGCCTTGAGTACAGTTAGGAGCGGTGCGAGTTTGTACCAATAAATCTCGCAGACAGGCATCCAGCGCAATATCAGTTTTCATTACTGTGCCCATCACAAGAACGCCAACCCCTGCTTTCAAAGATGGTCAATTTTGACGTTTGAGGAGATAGACAAAGGGTATCACAGGAGTATGTACAAAAAACTACAGGACGAGAAGTACAGTCAACACATGAGCACTTCGAAGAGATACTTGCGATCATGTGTGGCTGCTAGGGGTCACGTGGAGAAACAACCGGCCCTGCCGACAAGGCCTTTCGAGGCTATAGAAAACCCGTCCGGTCGTTACCGTCTTTGACACCAACCTTTCCGACATGCCCTACCTTCGCAGGGTGCCTGTCGCTATATCTGAGGGGATGGGCCGAGAAAACTCCATAGGAGCCCGAATGATGATCGCTCTGTCAACGAGCCTCTCTGAAAGGAAACCTCTGGCCACGCTAGGCCCGCCTTCCACCAGGACGTGGTCTATCTCTCGCTGAGAGAAAACGCAAGAAAGTTTGTCGCAAAAGACGGGCCAAGGATGGAAATATTGTGAGCACGCGCCAGCTTCTAGCTGAGCTGCACGAAAACCCATGAGCAACAGGTGTCACGGTGCAGTCCAAAGTCTGCGTGTTCTGCAGCCTTCGGTGTGGCTTCAAAACAGGCCATCATGGTCAAAATGTTGTTTGATAAGCACGTAAGTAGGTGCTCACGCGCGTGGCAGCTGACGAACACGCGAGTTCAACGAAAATGCTCAAGGACCCAGAGATTTCGCTGTATTAACACATCGTCGTTTTCACCCGTCGCGATTGCTTTAGCGTGGCATCACTGCAGTAGGGTGCATTCGTTGTGTAACATATGCATGTACAAGTACGCGTTGATGACGGAACACATCATCATTTGCCTTATGATCCGTGCACTCGCAGATGATGTGGGTGACATCGAATGCTGTAGGATGCAACAAGAATAAAAGCGTGCAACAGATTGTGGTTGTGCAAGGACACAGGCTTCCCTCGTTGGGGGGAGGCCCAGGTCGCAGTAGTCTTTACCCACTACTAAGGCCTGGCAGTTCTCTTCGTTGAGATTTAGAGAGGAGAGGGTCTAAGAAGAGAGAGACAAAAGAGAGAGTGCCGCCGAAGGGGCAAGGGAGACGAAGCCCGAGGGTCTCGGATTCCCAAGCTCCACAGGTGGCGCCAAGAGGGACGCATCCATAGTCGGGGCTCTTGCTGATCAACCATCAGTAAGATCCTCCGTTCGGATCGTATCTTGGTCCTACTTTTGTATGTGCAACAACAATGGTTACAGCACTTCAACACCTGTCATCCACATCACCCCCCCCTTTATGCGCCACAAATCCATCGTTGCTAAGGATGTATTGTGGCGTTTCTAGAGGCCTTGGGCGATATACATGGAAACAGATGTTGGAAGTATTGTCATACTGCTGTGTTGCAACATCTTCAACCGTGTCTGAGTCAGAGTTTCCGTGTTGAAAAAACACGAGTTCGTTAAACTCAGTTCAAGATGTGGTCCATAGCAAAAGCACGTAAAATCATACTAAAAAAAAGTTAAAGATGCTTTATCTCCTGCATGATTCTGACAGAAGAAAATTTCCTCCGTTCAGATATATTGCAGGGTGACCATACCCCGATT